ACACTGTCAGGAACTGAATGAAGTCTTTTCACAAATACAAACCAGAACAAATCTTTTTTGTATTTTCCTCTAACCTTTCTTGCTGGTTTTTTTCCCTTGCCACAGGTAAGATATGGACATACAATAGAGATCCATCTACCACTACTTGTGTCCGATTTTTCTCTCACATAACATGCAGACATTTTCCTATTTGGATTGACAAAAGGAATCAGATTTGTCCTCCCTGTTTCTACGGTTCTAGTCCTGATACCTAACAGTCTCTATCAATCTTGTTAATTTTCCTAAATAAAAACCATCTTGCTGTACTTCCTTTCCTTCTCTTTGAAGCTATCACTGCTCTCAAGATCCTATTTTGAAGAAACCGTTATGGAGCAGGATAGCAGAAGTCCTATGCTATGAATCACTAGGAGAGAAAATTCCCTTTCAGAGCATCAAATCAAGAATACTGAATATTAGTATTAGTAGCTAGCCTTTAAAGTAGGCTAAAAAGATACCAGCTAAGCAGACAGCAAATTGGTTCATTAATAGCTATATTGAAAATGGTGGTGCAATACAAGCTCTCCCTCTGGAAGTTTCTTAAAACATGAAGTGCCAGAATCTGGGAGAGTAAGGCTGGAAAAAGATGGATTTGGATATATTGAATTTCTTTGAATCTTTCCCTGAATGTCTCCAGTAGCCTCTGTAAAGACACAGGATACTGGGCTAAGTAGATCTTTGCTTTCTGACTAGTTTGGGAGTTCTAAAGAAAGGCAGTATGACATTAATTAAAGAAATTCAGCTCTTTCTTTGCACAGATTTCAAATACGCTTTTCAAACTTAAAGTACTGAGATACTTGATAGCCAAATTTTTAGTTACCATAAAATCTTCATGAACTCTCAGAAGAAAAAGAATTAAATGGAAAGAAATGTTTTGTTTTGTAAGAAATGATAGCTCATTGACAGCAGAGCTGAGAGGTGGTTCTTCCCCCCTCTCATCTCCTTTTTCTTGTATGCTCCTATTGCCCACCTTGTGCTGATTTACCAGATCATGAGTTGATTGAATTCTCTATATCTAGATAGCTCTTTCTTTGTTTAATTGCATGAATTAAACTCCAGAGAGAGTCTGGGGCATGCACAAAGAGAGGAGGCGCCACACAGCTGTGAGCAGGACCCATTTTGATGGCAGAGTTTTGTCTGGTCACTTCTGCTGCTCATGGAACTGCAGCCTTATAGCCCATAGTGTCCTGTCTCTGGAAAACACCCTTCACTACTCCCTGCCACTTGGAAAACTCGGTATCGCTGTAGTTTCACGCACACAGCCCACATCCCAGATAACCCACACTTTTTGAAAAGTACTGTTCCAAGAAAATACTCAGAAAACCACATCTCCAGTTTGAACTAGCTTTTACTCCACATCCAGTTACAACACATTATGCAACAGCCCACTATAAACCTCTGTGGTTTCAAAGAAAATATAAATATAATCAAAATTGTAATCACATCTCACAAATTCAGCCCTTCCAAGGAAAATTCAACAGAAAATTAGATCATGAAAAATATCAATTGATGCTTAAATCATAACAAATCACCCTTCCATCAAATATTTTTAAGACTATTAAAACTGCTAGGCTAAAGTCTTCACCCCTCATGTTTACTTGCGTAAACGAGAGAGAACACCTTCCTTCCCTCCAGTTTACTACCTATGTACCTGCATACCGGAGTGCAGAGATGTATAAAGCAAGGAATGCTAAGGTATGCTACAGTGACTATGACTTCTGAAAGGACTGCAGTGACTTTTGATACTGCCAAAAATAACCAAACAAGGGCTCCATCTGCTCTTGCAGTACACATTGCAGGATGAAGGAAAGGAGAAAAAGGAAAAAAAAGGTAGTACTAAGGAAACTGGTCATGGTTTCACAGATTCTCAGGTAGAGCCTGATACACATCCATGTAAATCAGCGACACCATAATTTAAAACTAGTGGAACTTCACCACTAATAATAATAGTAGAAGTCATTGAAATCTTCCTTCTTCCTTGCAACTGGAATTACTGAAGTACTGAATATGAAGTTGAATTTGTAGAAAATGTTGAGCTACCAATGAAGAGTGAAGGGTAAAATGAGAAGTAAAAATAGACTGGAAAACTCCTTTAGAAAGCAAAGTAAAACTAACATTACATTACGAGAAAAAAATCTTGTCAAAATATTGTTTCCTGCTACAGTTTTTACATTAATATTTATAACATACCTGTTACCTGTTTCTTCAACTTTTCAATTTCTTCCTTCAAACTTTTAATTTCTAAATCTTTGCTTGCTGTTAGTGGGCCATCCACTGTTGAATACTGCAGAGCCTGGACTGTCTGGGTGGACTCTAGAAAAAGATGGAAGAGAGGGGACAAATTACATGCCTGACATCTGAGGAGGTCAAAAAGATATCTCTGATAAATTAAGACATGCCAAAAAGCCCCCCCCCGAGGATTCTCCCATTTATAATTTCCCACTACTAAGTGCCAATTTTTCAGTAATTCTCAGCTGGACAAACTAAGTTCTTAGAAGTTTTAAGAATGAAATCCTTATGCCATAGTAACCAAGGCATGGTGCAAACAAAGTTAGCATGTTATAAGAAGTTGCATACATGGGATATTTCAGAGTAACAGAAGTTTAATTTGTTAACAGAAATAATGAAGATAATTCTTTTCTGCTAGAAAGCACTCCAGGAGGTGTATTTATTTTTTCCAACAGTGTAAACTATACCTTACAAAGCTGCAAGCTAATCCAAGTCAAAAAGGCAACAGAATGATTTTTTTTTAATGACTATACCTTGCAGTTTTCTACTAAGTTCAAGCTTTTCCTGTTCTAGACGTCTTATTCTCCTCTCATAAGCTTCTGTTGCTAAACTGTCCTCCAAAGTTCTTTGAATGCTGGCATCAAGATCCATGGAGGGTGGCCCAGCTGTCAGTCTTAGACAGCTGCGGTCTGAAAGCACACTGGGGGAAAAAAAATTAAACAGTATTGGATTTTACAACAGGCTGTGTTTAAAAGAATTTAAAAAAAAACTGTATCAACCAATAAATATTTGTTTAAACTGTTAATTACTACGTAATTTATTATAAATAATACCTTGTTAGTCTGTGCTCATTAAAAATTGAATTCATTTTTACCTGGCATGACTGATCTCCTCAATGCATTTTTTGTTACATAGAAGTGAATGAACTCCTGATTAAAAATGATCATTATGGACAGGCTACTTCAGCCAGATAGCAAACCTCAACAATCTAGATAGTTAGTAAGATTATAATAACAGTTATTTTAAAATAATTAATCAAGTTTCCCAAATACTTTAAAAACAACAATTGCAACAAATGGTGTGAAATTATCACATGACAACTAGGGCACGTACATATCAGCAATGCTGTGGCCCTGATTCTGTGGATACTCAAGCACACATACTACTACTTATGCAAGCAATCCTTTTGAAGTCTACAGGACATGTCACATAACCAGCCTTAAGCACATGTGTTTGCAGAAACATAGGCCTGGTTTTTCAGTGGTTGTAAACATTCTTTCTTTATTTATTTTCATAAATGATCATGGACTTCCTTGTTACTGTTTAATTTAGCAGTAGAGATGAACATGACAAATACCACATTAATACCAAATATTAATAAAAGTTTTTTTTTTTTTTTTAATTTCCGTTCAGACTTACAAAAGTGTCAAAGGACTAGAAATAAAACTGGATTTAAGGTCTAATAAGCTAAGTTCTCTCTGGGTCCACACATCTGGTGTTAACTTTGTCATATGCAGTTAACTTCATACATTGTCTGAAAACCACCTTTCTCGACGAAACTCCTCTGAACACAGGTCCTGACCTTTAAATTCATGTAAATTTTACCTGCAGAGAGCTCATTCTTTTGGACAGACAGCATTTTAGATTATGGCCTAGTAATTTCCTCAATAAACCACATTCTTTGGTATCTGCAGATGGTTTCAGAGACAGAAACTTAAGATGGTATGTAACTATCCTGCAGACAATTTTGGAACCTTAACTTACCAGCTACTTGTATATGTGAAACCCACGAAAGGTAAATGATGGCCAGAAAATGCAGTGTGTGATGGTGGAGGCATTGTTTCCTAGAAAATAATAGGACAGTTGAGTAAGTAATATCCTACTGGACTTAAAAGAAAAAGATTTTCGAGTCTAATCACACGTGAAGTGCTAGTGATAATATCGTATTGACTATATTCACAGTCATTCTGATCTACAGCCCAAATATGAAACAGCTTCACCTAAATCTATTTATAATAGCATGCAGTATACAAAAATACAGCATGCTGGCATAAAAATGCTTTTCTAATTAAATAGGGTATCATTGGAGGAAAGCAGAATATTACACATATTAAAAGCCAATTTATTCCTTCTTTTTTCCAAGAAGCTCTTAGCAGAAAGAGTACCACCTTTTATTCCCTTCTATACTCCTCTCTGCTATTTAGTCAGGAGGGCTTCCTGCCTGTAGATTTACCAACCCCACTTCTGAGCGGGCTGTCTTTATTTGGAGAGAACAATAGTCAGACATTTACTAGAAAGAAGTAATACAACAGGGTTTTCTAATCCCATTAGTGCTTTGACCATTTCTTCCTTCATGGCTCCTTCTTCCTGCCAGACAAAGAGCTACAAACCAAGACAAATCTTTGAGCTTCTCCTCAGGCTAAAATAACACTGTTGCTATCTTATTTGAAGCATTATAAGTTCTAATATTCTTAAATATCCTGTTAAAAGTTTCCTGTTTAACTCCAAGATGCAAGGTTTATGTTGCTATACTAGAGAAGGCCTTAACAGTCATCAAATGAAACTCCCTAAGAAGAAGATTATCACCCTGAAAGTGCTAAAAGATTCAAAATTTTAAGAAAAGGTAACATAATGATTTTTCCAAACAAAAAGGAAAAAGAAGAAGAAAGGAACCAGTTGTACATTTTTCATGTAAAACTCAGCAGGAGAGAATTAGCCTGTATTCAAAAGAAATCCAAAATTACCTTTTCAGTGGTGGCGTCAGCTATGTTACATCACAACCTTGACCTTTTAGCAGACAAAAATCTTAACATCGAAAAAGAGTTCCCAGAATAAAAAGCAACACCAATGTCATGGCTAGATTGTGTAAATACATCAAGTCTACATTGTTGGGCATTTTGGAAACTAAGGACAAGATCAAATTACAAAGCCTTAACTTTCCACTAATTGATAATAAAAATATCAATTATTACACATTATGGTTAGGAAAAGTAGAATTCTTTATTTCTTCTTTGTATTTTATTTTCATATTTCATAGATTTGAGTTTTATCATACTGACAGAATTATAACTGAATCTACGTCTATCGTGCCTATCAGTAAGCTACTAAATCAAACAGTTAAAAGCCAAAAACCTGCAGAACTTAGGCTGCCTAGCAACACTGTTTTGCCCTTTGTGTTTATGTGTACTTTTAACATATTGTTTGAATTTCATTATTACGTATATATTTTTTCCTAACGCTCCACACCACATATGTCTACCACTGGATTTCATCAAGTCGAAGTGTTTTCCATGTTTGACTGTGTAATTGAAGGAAAGCGAATGCAAATAATAATAATAATCATCCTGCCTATATCAATTCAAAAAGGGCATCACCAGCAGAGATAAAGAAGTCATTATCCCATTCAGTGCTTGTCAGGCCACACCTGGAATACTGTGTACAGTTCTGGTCCCCGTTATACAAAAAAGATGCGGACAGGCTGGAGGGGGTCCAGAGAAGGGCCACCAAGATGATCCAGGGTCTGGGAAGCCTGCCGTATGAGGATAGGCTGAGAGAGCTGGGCTTGTTCAGCCTTGAGAAAAGGAGGCTTAGAGGTGATCTCATCACCATGTACCAGTACTGAAAGGGGAGCTACAAAGAAGATGGAGACTCCCTTTTTACAAGGAGTCACATGGTGAGGACAAGGGATAATGGGTACAAGTTACTCCCAGGGAGTTTCCGATTGGACACGAGAGGTAAATTTTTCACAATGAGAACAGTCAATCATTGGAATAATCTCCCCAGGGAAGTGGTTGACTCCGCTATGCTGAACACGTTTAAGACTCAGCTGGACATGGTGCTGGGCCATCTTGTTTCGATTGTGCTAGAAAGGTTGGACCAGATGATCCTTGAGGTCCCTTCCAACCTGGTATTCTATGATTCTACGAATTCATGTTGCCTATTGCTTATCTGCAGGCCCAGGAAGCTCAGTGGAACTGAGATGCACAGGCAGCTCAGAAAACAAAAGCAAAAACGGTGAAAATGCTTCACCTCACATGTAAACAGCAGGTTTCTGCATCTTTCAACAAACACCAAAAAAAAAAAAAAGTATTTCCAAGGAGACAACACAAGGCATTCCTCTGATTCTAACACCTCTCTCATCTGTCAAAGGTCCTCTTCAAAAGCACAGAAACACTAAGGTTGTTAAAAATCAATAGTTGCAAAGCTTTTTAAGCAAAAGCAAAATAATTTCTCTCTCACTAAGATTGTTCCTGAAGAAATGGCTGTAACATTTCTCCTAAATTTCCCAAAACTCAACTCAAGTCAGAAAACAAGCTGGAAAAAATTTAGTGGGAATGAACTGAATGGAATCTGACAGAGATACGAGCAATTAGAGTAGAGCACTGCAATAAAACGCATTATGCAAACTTAGTACAAGTCTCAACAATGATCTGTTAGAAATACTGTGTCTTGCAGGCTATCTACATGCAAATATAGTATTCTTTATAAGACCTCGTTACTGCAAATAACAGATGTATGTATTAGTTAAACATGTGTAAAGTTACAATGACTTTACAAAATAGAACTGAAGTTATCCTTACACATATACGTCTGGAGCAACAGTCTCCGAACTACAAATGTATTCCCCCCACAGTTCTTCAAAGCAGCACTTTGTTGTTTATGCACAACACAGTGAACACACTGGAATAAACTGCCATTTACATACATTTTGTTGTAAAGTATACTACAAAAGCAGATTTGTCAAAATGTTAATTCTATACTTACAGAATTTTTTAAGCAATCATCATCCACATCAAAGTTTGATGTATCAGTGGGGCTGCTGACTTCTGGGATGTAAGGTGCCTCACAGTTTCTAATGTTGTCCCAATCAATCCCAGCAAAAAAAGGATGGTTCTTAAAGTCTTCTATCCCATTTTGTCCAAGTCGATGCTCTCTGCTACAAATGAGCCTTCGGATGAGGTCCTTTGCACTTTCAGAGACATCTGTCACTTGAGCAGGAAACTGAAACCTCTCCTTAAAGATTAAAATAAGAGAAAATAGTTTATTACCAAGAAAAACTTCGAAAAATAACCCTTCCTAGTGAAAACTATTATGTAGAAAAAGAAATGTGCAAATACTCCAGTTCTTAAACATATGCAGTAAGGTTTCTAGGAAAAAGACTTCCCCAATGGATAGAAACTATTGACATTTTTTTTGTCTCCTAGTTTTTCTTCTTTATTTACATTTCTCTTACACTGCTGAATTCTACAGCCACCTCCATGTGGAAGAACGTTTAAGAATCTTCTGCATAAGCCAACCAACAGATCCCGCCACAAGAAAATACCGCAAAAGAATTGATGTAATGTAGCCAAGATTTACTCCACAGAATGAACTAACAGCCATGTTTCCAAATCCAGATTTTTAGTTTTGAACTGCTTTATCCTAAAGCAAAGCCATCTGCGATCCATAACCATAAACTTACTACATGGAAACATATTTTTTGTTCTACGTTTATGAACATTAACATAATTCGTACATAAAAACTCACTTATAAATAAGCCTTCAAGTTACCCTATTACTTATTAAAAATTAGCTTAGAGAGAGACAGAAAGAGAAAGTGCACTAACTTTGTGGTTCATTATTTTCCCATAGGTCTCCACCAAGGACTCAGCATAAAAGGGCGTTTCTCCATAAAGCATTTCATACATGCAAACGCCTAGGGACCACCAGTCACACTCGGGCCCATACTTCCCTTTTCCATCTTCCATGGCCTGCAAGATTTCTGGAGAGATGTAGTCTGGTGTTCCAACTGCCACTGAAGATTGGACCTGTAGAAGTTACATTTCCAGGACTAAAATCAACTTCCATCATTACAGACACTGCTGTTTGTGGCACTGTGCACGTGTATATAAATTTAGCCTAGTGTTCTGGTTATAACAATAACAATTACACACAATAAAAAGGCTTCTAAATTCATCAAGAAATACGTAAGCATCCAAGGTACTACATTAATAGGCATCCCAATAACGTACTTTTGCTCAACTCTTACAAATATTTAATAAGAGAGAAAGAACAAAACTGTCAGTTCTTACGCTTAGAGTTGTTATTAAGTAATTATAGACCGGGTAATCACATATATTAACTCAAATACTTTGCAACACTGTGGGACATGATTAACACACTGGAATTACATTCTAGTCACACCCACTATATACTGTGCAAGTTTAAATATACTACTAAAATACGACGATATGCTAATTGTATCTCATCCTGCTTATACTAAAGCTTACATTTTCAATAAAGATTAGAGCTCAGAGCTCAAAAATGAGAGATTCATAGTTCATCAACAAATACCTACTCAGTACTGATAGTGCAGCTTCTCTTTCTTTATTCATGACTTGACTATATGCATCTAAAAAGCTTTTAATATACAGTAAATCCAAGCAAATGCAGTCATTTTGAACAGAGGTTAGTTACATACCAATACCATTACAATTCCCTTTCATTTGACGTAAGGCACCTTTTCTCTTTATTAGCACAATTTTAGCAGCTAGCAAAGGACTAAAGAAAAGGTGTTTAGGAAAATATCATTCTTTCTGATTTACCGTTCCATCTTCCATCAGTTTCAGACAAGAACCAAAATCTGCTAATCGAATATGTCCATTCATATCCATCAAAATGTTGTCTGGTTTAATATCCCTGCAAATAAAACACATTTCAGAATCAGTATAAAAATGTATTGTATAACATGTAGTCCAAGCATTAACTCTGCAACACCCTTATCATTCAAAACCAGCAACAGATCAGTAGACAGAACACAATCACTCATCATATGATAAAATTCGCACCAAGGACATTTCGTGACAGGGGCTGTGGATCAAATCATATAATGCCTGTGAATATTAGTTAGAATTGTGTGGTCAAATTCCTCTCATCTCTCACAGGTAGAAATGAGACTCTTACTCGCTCTGAACTTTTGTACGTAAAACTTCTAAATCATCTAAAGAATTTTAGTGAAGAACTCTCAAGTGAAAGATGCATATTTATACTGGAGCTGTAAAACCATCTCTAAGTTTTACTATAGAATGAAGGTCACTGAAGCTGTAAAATAATTAACATATTTTTAAATCTAGTGTCTTTCATCAACATTTTTCTCTCATGTACATTTCAGCTCACTATGTACGCCTGTCATACTTCTGCTGAAATGGCCAGCAAAGCCATTGTACACATTGCTGCAGCTCTGCTTGGCCAAATTCTGCAGCTCTCTCATTCAGGTCGTGATACACACGGAAAAATCTTTCTAAGCAGGCAACATAATAAACACTTCTTATTTTGAAAATTTGACTCTTTTTTTTTTGTCTCATGTTTTACAGATACCTAAGTATACTGAAATACAGATAAAGTGTATGCCACCAGTATGCAGCTGACTAGGATGAAAGCATCTGTGCTCTCTAAATTACCAGCGGTGCATTTATTGTTCAACTTGCAAACTAGGTTCAAATGCTGAAATTCCTTTTCATTAAAGTACAGTTATTAGAAATACACATTAAGCTACATTTTTTAAATATATGACATTACTACATTCTTACTCTAACCTTTCTCAGTGAACAGTCATTTATAAGACATAAGATCAAATCCCCTAAAACAAACAAAAAACAAGTGAAGCCCTGACTTTGCTTCATTCCCCTAACAAATTATAAATGAATGTCATCAATTGCTTTGCAGACAAATTTCAAAATGTTCACAAGCTAAGATACTCACACTGCACATGAGAGCAAGGGTTTGTCAGGTTTTTCTGTTTTTTAATAAAAACTGAGTTATAAGTGATGTTTATTGAGAATTTATAATGGCAAAAAAATTATACCACCACCTTGAATAACATTACAGAATCAATGGCATGAAGGTGTTGCACTGTTATACACTCCGTGACAATTAATATAGTAACAGTGTGTTGTTTTGAAGAAAAGTACTTTCTGAATTTGTGTTACCCAAAGGCAAGCAGGCAACGGCCCATGCTGAAAACAAATTTTAGCCACCTTCCAAACATGCGGAAACATTTACAAAGTAAAAAGCAAACACTACTTAAGAAATCCTACTTTTGCTTCTCGCAACTGAGCATAAAGACAATTCTTTACAAAGTAAATCATAAAAATTAACCGAGTCCATTCTCTAAATAACATTCTTCCACTTCATTTTTGCTGACACTGAATATGCCGAAGAACTGCAGCCTCCAGATTGAGACACTTTTATTTATTTTACATTCACCCACAAAAAACATTCCTTACACATGTTCCTAAATAAAAACAAACACATGCTATTGAGACCTCTGGAATTATAACTTCAGTTTAAAACACTTTGCAAAAACATGCACCTAAAAATCAAGTTCCTCTTAGAAGCTGGACCTAGTTCAAGCTAAACAAAAACATGAGTCACCCTTGAGGCTCCATTTATCCATGTTTTATCTTTCAATATATTCCCAAGAGAAATAATAATAATAATAATAATCATCATCATCATCATACCAACCTCCCCCACTCAATCTCACAAAACAGCAGAAAACATGAAAAATCTCACTCTGCTGTCAACACTCTGCAAAAACAAACCTGCAAACACCACTGAAAGCACTCAAAGGAACAAGGATTACTTGCAAAGCGAAGTTTGTAAGGCTCAGTAATAACTTCATAAGAACAATTTTTATAGTTGAGGAAAAAAAAGAGACCAACTTAATGCACACAAATGCTTTTCAGCTCTTGTAACAGAAGGTATGGGTTATGAACAACTGTTCTGAATTCAACTGAACTACATTAATAAAAGACAGTTTGAAAGACAAGAATTGCTGGCACCTGCAGAGCAGAGTGGGCTATAAGCAAAGGAAAAGTAAAGAAAATTATGAGCCCCAAAGGGGAACAAGGAAGGGGAGTAATTATTGCCAGTGTAACTGAAGAGTTCGAAGGTGGTGATTATGGGGAAAAATAATGTGTCATAAAACCCGCATCTCTACTGAGCCTGCAGTTGTTAGATTCCATAAGAATTATGAGTTTTGTTCCGGGTTTTTGTTTTGAATGACATTTGGTGACTCTCCTTTAGTGATCAGAACTGATTCTTCTCCTGTTCTAAACAGAGCATGGTCTTCCCTCTTCACACCCACTCCACATTCCCAGTTTCTTCACTGTACTTGTTTCCTCTTCCCACACTTCCATCTCAGCTGCAGTTTTATTCCTATCATCCCCTGCCTCCTAGGCTCACCTCAAAAGTTGAGAGGTCAAATCCTCCATGGCCTATCAAGTCCGAAGTCCTAGTCTCCCTGCATGTACACCATTTACCTAATGTTTTTTTTCCTCCCATCTCAGCTCTCAGCAGTCAGTATTTCCCCATAGTCATTTCCCAGATTACCTTCCCATTCCCACTGACTTCCTATTCCCCTAATCCTTGCTATCCTCCTTCCTTAGGTCTAATTTTTGTTCTGTTGCACAGGAATCTTTGGCACCAAAAGGAAGAGTGCTGTTAACAACAAAGAGCCTCCACACCGTCTCTAGTGTCTATTTACTAACATCTCCCAAAATTGCAGGGCAAGTCCCTTCATTCTTATAGCTCTGAAACTGCAAACTACAGCAGAAGAAAACTGAAAGAGCAGTTATGGAGCAAACTCTGCTTATGGTTGTTTGAATTCTACGTGGGGGGCAGAAGAATGAAAATACATCCATGACTCAAGGAAGATTCTCTCCTGGATTTCAACAATGCCTCCATATCCCAGAGCAGAATTTCTCACGGGGCTTGTAAGAATTATTTAATTAATTTAAAATCTATATAGGAAAAGCAATGCATGTTTCTTGATCTTGTTCCTGGAAAGAGATGGCACTTACTGCTTCAGAAAGATACTAAGGAAGGAAAATTCCAGGCCAAGTAGCTAAAATCCGGCAAAAGTAATGAGCAAATAATGAAAAGTTATGGGGTTTAGCGAATAGACCACTGGGCTGAATCTCCATAGATAAGAGTTACTGGGTGATTGTGGGCAAACCATTTCAACATCACTCAATGATAACACCGGTGCTCAGTCAAGCAACTGATATCATCTGGCTAGAAGGGTCTGGAGCACTAATATTCTAATAACCCTGCAATTAGTTCACTATAATAAAAGATAAAGGCGCACTTGAAATATGAAACAATAATTCAGTTTCAAGAAGTATAAGCATTTGGAAGCCATTTTATGAACCAGATTTACAGTAGGAACAAGTATTGAATTGGGGGAATTGTTCTGACACCACTGTGCCCTCTGGAGACCCTGAGTTCTACCAAGTCCCAGACGGTTCAGCCCTACTCTTGAGAGCAGCTTCTGTGGGAAGTCCAACGTGCAATGGGTACAGGTTGCCAGAGTTAGACCTGGTACAAATCAAGCTTGTACAGGTTCTTCAAATGCACTCTACAGTGAATTAAGGGGACATGGGTATCCAGCATACCCAAAGAAATAAAAATCTTCCTTAAACCAACTTTTTTGTAGCATTGCCACCTGAGGATGTGAACTAAGCAAAGATTGCTGTTCTGCTTTTTTTTTTGAATGAGTGATATACCAGCATCAAAGGAGCTAGAAGTCTGGACCGAATAAACTTCTTTAAACACACATATGTCCATTTAAACCATGACTCCAACACAGAGTATAGGAGTGCCTTCTGTTTTTCTGAGCTGCATTGGCCTTGATTGTAGGAGAAAATCAGCAGCTTGGATAAAGTGATGTCTTCGCATTTGTTTTGCAGACTTCCGCTATTTGCTTCTGTTCATCTGGAGAATGCTATAAGAATAAACAGTCTCTGTGATACTGGAAACTTCACTTGCACAGAAAATGAGTGTGGAGGCTTATGAAAAAAATTTGAAAAATCTTTAATCAATCATTTTCCATAATGCTTCTTGGTTTAATCTGGGGAGCTGTTCTTCAGATTGGCATGTTTACCTGGATGACTTCACTCACCTCTCTTTAAAACAGTTTACTTTCTTAAGCCATAATTAAACCCCAAACATTTTACATACTAACTGTGTTAATATAAACAACATTCTGAAATGGGACTACAGCAGACATCTGGATTATTGCCATTCATTTTGATTTCTCTGTTAATGAGCCAGAGTAGAATTTTATTTGTTCAGTAAGACTCAAGAAAAAGTATTCCCTCTGAGACGTGCTAAATCCATAGCACATTCCAGCTGTAAAACAAACTAAAAAGACTTTTTAATACATGTGAATGTATTTTTTTTTTTCCTGGACTCATTTCTGATACTAAACGGAATTTCAGGAATCGTGAGGTCTTGCGTACTGAAATTTGGACTAGACAACCCTCCTTAAGTTCCTTCCAACTTGAATTATCTGACCATCTTATGGTTTCAAAGTATACCTGTTCCTGAGGTTCATCTATGTCATTTGTTGAATCATCGAATCAATGTTATTCAGTTATTTGCAAGACCACGTGAAGTTCCTCACATCTACAGCTCAGGAAGCAGCAAATTCCAGAAGTATCTTATTTTGTTTCATGGGCAGCCTCATGGAGGCAGGGGACCAGACAAACAGAAAGGAAGCTACATCAAAAATAGAGTGACATTTAATGCAAGAACTGTAATACAATGATTAAGCAGCAGTCGTGTCAGACACTACCAAAGATTGTGACAATGGACCAACTCACAGGCCCACATATTTAAGTTTAAGCAATAAAAAC